TCTTAATATTATTCCCCCCTTTTCCACATTCCAACCATGGCACCATCTCTGCATCCCAGAACCCTGTTGTTCCCAGGTTGTGCATATATCATTATTTACCTCTGTCTCACTTAGCCCATTGAGACCTGTCTAATTGTTCTCTCATCTGCTTTGTTCTTCCATTCCCCTCTCCCTACTTCTATATTGCCCCCTCCCTAGTACCCAAACTATCCTGTGTCTAATCCCTGCTCTGTGCTCCACCTTCCCCTCCCTCCCCTCACCCACCCCTAACATCCCAATAATCAACAAAGAATACCTCCTACCCCCCTTTAGTATGGGTTCTTTCCCTTAGTCTTTTACATTAGTGGTCCTATGCAGTTTTTCTCTTTTTGTGACTGACTAATTTCACTCAGCATAATGCCCTCAAGGTTCATCCATGTTATGTGGTGGCTTGCAGCTTCCTTGTTCTTCAAGGTAACATAGTATTCCATTGTGTATATGCTGTCATTATGTTACTTTTTTGGTATTGCTGTTCATTCTTTGGTTCTGCTATCTTTCTTGTGTTGGCTTTATATTTTTTGAGTTGTTTCTGGTCGGTTTCTTCCTAGTTTCTCTGTTAGCTTGCTCTGCTTGGGAATTCGTTTTTATGATATGTTGTAGAGTGTTAACTTTCTTTGGGGTTACCTTCTAGTCTACTAAATTTCTCTGTATTTAGGATACTCCATTGTAACCTTTAATTTACCTGGCATCCACACCACCTGGGCTTCCGTTGCTGCGTTTGTCCATTCTTTGACATTGATATGTTTTTGGCCTTTAGTTGATCTCCCTGTTCCTTTGAGTTTGTTGTAGTAGTCCAGTTCTGTTCTGGACTCCGCTATCTGTTGATAGGTAGGATGTTGCCATACCTATCAATCTGTATTTGTTGTCTGTTCTTGTTGGTTTTCTGTCCACAGAACTCCCTTTACGATGATTTGAAGTGCTGGGTTGGTTTTGATAAAATCTCTCAGATTCTGTTTATCCTGGAAATGTTTTGATCGCACCATCATATTTGCTTGATAGTTTTCCTGGATAGACGTTTCTTGGTGACAGTTTTTTTCTTGTAGGGCTTTGTATGTGTCTCCTCATTGCCTTCTCTCCTGCATGGTTTGTTCTGAATAGTCAGAGCTTAATCTAATTTACTTGCCTTTATAAGTTATAGGTCTCTTCTCCCTGGCCGCTTTTAGAATTCTTTCCTTGTCTTTGATTTTGGAGAACTTGATTATTATATGTCTTGGAGACTTTCTTTTGGGGTCTATCCTTCCTGGGGTACATTGCACTTCTTGAATGTTAAACTTCTCGTCTTTCAAGATATTAGGAAAATTTTCTTCCAGAAGCTCTTCAACTATCTCCTCTGTGGACTTCTCTGATTCTTCTTGTTCCGGAATGCCAATAATTCTTACATTATTCCTCTTCATATTATCCAGCATGAATCTTAGACTCTCTTCAGATTGTTTTATGCTTTTAGCTGCTTTCTCTTCTACCTTGGCAGTATTGAGAGACTTGTTTTCCAGTTCGCTAGTTCTGGCTTCCATCTCTTCTAGTCTGCTCCTTTCCCCTTTCAGCCTATTGTCCATTTCTGTTATCTTATTATTGATCCCCTGGACATCTTTTGCAATTTTTGAATTGTTTCCAATGCTGTGTCAATCCTATTTGATTGTTCCTGCAGTACTTTCCTTACTTCCTAATTTCCTCGACTGCTTTTCGCAGTATTTGAATTTGTTTCCGTATCATTCTTCTGAATTCCCTCTCAGGCATATCCAGAAAACCCGCTCCTTCTCCTCTATAAAGCTTTTGTCTGTTTCCAGATCATTTGTGTCAGCTGCTCTCTTCTGGTTTTGGACATGTTTCGATAAAGTTGATTGTTTCTTATTGGTCATGGTTATTATTATTATTAATATGATCCGGACATGGGCTTCCCGTATCGTCTGTAATGCGTAGCAGGTATTGTTGGGTCTTGTCTTTGTGGTGGAGTATTATGGTGTATGCTTACAGCTTGGCTATATGACCACGATTGCTGCTTTTTCTTAGATGACGTAGGGAGGAAAAGCTCCCACCTCCAGGAATGATGTGTCATCAAAATGACCAAAACCAGAAGTAATATAAATGCATGGACCGAAATCACCACTTTGGAGTGGAGATGCAGCTTTGGCTTACTTTTTCTGTTCTTGTCCTGCCAGAACAGTAGCTGCTACCTGGGAGTGGGGGCAGGGCTGCTTAGATGCAGAGTTTCAGATTGGGGCCAGCGGGTGGTGGATGAAGTCAAAAGTAGCTGCCTGTCTCCCGCTCTCTGTGCCATAGGTAAACTTATCTTGCTGAGATCTTAAGCCAGGGCAGGAAGATTTTTGGGGTTTTTTTGTTCAAGGTCACCCCCGCCCCCCACCACCTTTTTTTTCCCTTTCTGCTGGAAATGCCGCTTTTTGATGGGGCTGGTCTTAGCCCTGCTCTCTAAACTCTACAGTCACCGGAGTGACCTGGCGTCCCGCGGGAGAGTTCCAAAATGCCCCTTTTTTCCTTAGCAGCATGATTTCTCAAAAATGCTAGTTCGAGAGACTGGAATACTGATCTTATGATAGTTCAAAAGCTGTGGTTCTGGTATATGAATGTTTCCTTCGTGAGATCCCCATCCTTTCTTATCCGAGCTTTCCCTACCTCCTCTCCTGCATGTAGCCCGGAACCTTTCCTAGACTTTTAATTCTTTGAGAGAGCAGAAAGCCTCATCTTTCTTCTGCAGAGCGGTTGGCAGCCTGGCCAGTGCTTATCTTACAATGCCACAGTAGGACTCCATCAATTTTATATAAAGACTGTAAATATAAAATGCTCAGGGCATTAAACTGAATTTACTATGGCATACATTAAGTAGCAACCCTGGTATCTTACTTAACATTCTTATTATGGGCTCATAGAAATAGTACAGAAATATAGGGAATATTTGTTAAATGTTTTTGTTTTCTGACTCATTTTTGGAGTCAAACATTTTAGTTAGTATTTGTAGTTGTTATGTGCTGTCAAGTCAGTTCTGAGTCATTTAACAACCCTGTATAGGGTTTTCAAGAGACATCAATCTTGCTGTTAGCTGTCCAGTGCTTATCCTATAGGCATACACCAGAATTCTGGCAATTTAGGTGTCCTAACAATTTTACCTAAACCTAAAGAAGATGAGATACAGATTTCTGAGCACTTGACAAAAATGTGCACTAATAATGGTCATGTAACGTAGTGGTTATGAATTAGGCTGCGAACCGCAAGGTCAGCAGTTGGAAACTACCAGCTGCTCTGCGGGAGAAAGATGAGGCGTTCTGCTCCCGTAAAGATTAACAGCCTCAGAAACCCTGTGCAGGGTCACTATGAGTCGGAACCGACTCCATGGCATATAACAACAACAACAATGGTCATGGTGTAAATAAAATATTGCATTTTTGTTGTTTTTCATTTTACATAGTTGGCAGTGCAGAGTACCAGATAACATCCTAAAAAAATTTTTTTGAAAAAAATCCAAAGAGGATTTTACTTTGTTCTGTACATTATTCTGCCATAGCAGTTAACCAGTGCTACAAAATAGAAATTTTATATAATGTATCCATAACCTAGGTGTTTTTACATCTTAACCTGAAAGGCCATTAATTAATATAAGACATAAACATTTTCAGAAGGACTCACTTGAGTTTTTGGTCGATGTGCTTTCTCCTATCTTAGGTCTATCATTTGGCAAGTGTACGCTTACGTGATTTATGTTTAAAACTGGATATTTCTAATGAGCTACGAAGAAAGATATGGACATGCTTTGAATTTACTTTAGTTCACTGCTCTGATTTAATGAAAGACAGACATTTGGATCAGCTACTCCTTTGTGCCTTTTACATCATGGCAAAGGTAATGTATATGTTGGGGAAAACTCTGCCCTTGTCAGTATTTCAATTGTGAGGTAAAAATCTGTTGCATTTGATTTCAACTTCTCTTGTCCTTAGCTCTGCAAGCCAATAGTGCCCAATCACTGAATATTAAGTATTCAATTCCAGCTAATGTACTTATTTTCTAGATGCATTGTTTAGTTTCATAATAATCAGCTTTCCTACTTTATAGGGATGCATTAGTTGAGAAGGAGTTGGAAAGGACCTTAGAGACCTTACATAGTATAGTGGCTCTTCACACTAGTAATGTGACCACCTCCACCCCACCCCCAACCTGTGATAGCTCTGATCTAGTGGAGTCTTGATGTGATACTATATGATAAGCATTTGACCTCAAGGTTAGTTTGAACTGCAAAGTCAGTGGTTCAAACTCACCAGCCACTCCTTGGTGGTGGTGGTGGTGGTGGCGATGTTCCATGGAGTCAATTCCGACTCATAGAAACCCTGTATAGGGTTTCTGAGGCTGTAAGTTTTTATGGGAGCTCTTCCTTTCTTCGCCATCGTGTGACCGCTGCTACGTTCCATCTTTACTATGTCTTCTCATAAGACTTTCAGGATCAAGAGATTCCTGGCCAAGAAACAAAAGCAGAATCGTCCCATTCCCCAATGGAGTCTAATGAAGTTGGGGAATAAAATCAGATACAACTCCAAGAGAAGACACTGGAGAAGAACCAAGCTGGGTCTCTAAGGAGTGGCCCATGTTCTTTAAGGAGTGGTCCATGTTCTCTAAGGAGTGGTACATGTGGATGGCGTAGCACATAATAGACCCAGGTCCTAGTACCCTACCATAGCAAGTTCAATTTTGCCAAGATTTGATCAGTTGAACATGTTTTGCAAAACTTCTGGTTTCTTCCGTTATTTTTATTCTTCAGCATTTAAAGAGGTTAGCTAATAAATATGTGAGGCATTTGGTTTGAAAAAAAAAAAATTTTTTTTTTTATAGGAGCAGAAAGCCTCACCTTTCTCCCACAAAACAGCTAGGAGAAACTTTCAAACTGCTGACCTTAAGGTTCACAGCCCGATTCGTAACCATAGCTCTCCTTAGCCACTCCTTGGAAACCCATATAGGGTCGCTATGAGTTGGAACCGACTCAACGGCACACGACAACAACAGTACTATGAAGTAATATGATCATTATATTGGAAGTGAATAAGGCCCAATGCTGTTAAGTATCTTGGCCAGAATTACATAATAAGTGGTAATTATAACATCCTGATAAGTAATTTCATTTAAAATAGCTTCAGTACCATCTTGCTTTCTAGTGATTTATTGTATGTCCTTTGAAGAGTACTTTACTTTCTGCTTGCTACCACGCATTTTTAAGTCATAAAATGACATTTTTAACTTGTTTTCTAAAAGTCTGATTACCTGAAAGATAAAACAGTGTCTGAAAATTTGGACTTGGCTGTATTGTCACCCTGGCAATCGCAGCAGATACACAGGTCAGATCTGTTTTTTGTTGTTCTTTTCAAAGCAAAACTACTGTGTAACCCCTCTCCCACAATACCTCTAAAATATTTTTACAAATTCGTAATAAGTGTTAACTAGTTACAGATCATTTCTGTTTTCTAGACATTCAGAAAAGTTCAAAAAAATCTAGAAGTTGTCGAAAATCTAGAAGTTCAGGTTTTGCCATTTCTTACTCATCATTATGTAAGCAGGTTTAATGCTACTGACAGTGAAATATTGGAGAGGAATAATTTCATTATAATGCCATACCAGAAATTCCTTTTTGGATCACTGATCATTTTTTTCTGCTTGACCACCACTGTGATTTTTCTGTATTAGAAATCATGCAGTCTGTCCTGAAATGTTAGAAGTCTAATCCTATAATTTAGATAATTGATGGCTAATCACTACAAGACATTTCCTGTCCTTTAGTATGTGGCTAATTTACTTTTAAATAAGGACTTAAAACTAATAACGTTGGAGACTACAGGGGATTCAGCAGATCTGAATTTTCTTATACCATTCTTTTTATAAAGAAATACATTTTTACTTGAGTTATGCCATTACAATCTCAGTGCTTTTTGATTAATGAAACTACAAGCTGAATCCCCATAGCTGAACTTAAAAGGTGGTAAAGATCATAAATGTTAGTGTTTTTTGTCATAAACTGGCCTGGGGTTAATGGCTTTCTGCAAGACTGCTCTCATACCAAACTATAATTGAAGTTTTTGTTCATAGCCAAAAAATGCAGTTTTATTTTCTTTAGGTAACAAAAGAAGAAAGAACTTTTCAAGAAATAATGAAAAGTTATAGGAATCAGCCCCAAGCTAATAGTCACGTGAGTTATTTTATTTCCCCTATTGCCAAAAATAGATTTGTACTGAATTTCTGATGAGAAGTCATATAAAAGGTAAAGTTGTTTTATTATATTTTAAATTTCCTGGTTGAATAGATACCATTAGACTGAAGAGATAGTTTTTTAAAAGGACAGTTTTCAAAAGAAGCCAGGAAATCTGAATGTTCCTTACTTACTTGTATGTATTTATAACAGGTTGTATTCCTTTGTTCATTTGTTGAGTCAGAATATTTTTACCAGAAAATAGTGATAATAACAATATTCTTTAATTGTTTGTGACTTAATTATCTGATGGTTTAAATCTTATGACATTTTATTAACTTTAGATCAACTTCTTTTGCCATCAGCTAAGAATCCGAATATTTGCATCTTTGAATAGATGGTAGTCATTTCTGATTGTGTTGTTAAAAGTAGCCATGGTGAAAATCTTATATAACTTTTCAGCCATGGAAATGTAAAATGTTAGTATAGTGGCTTGGCACCCTAGTAACATTTAATGGATGTTAGTTCCAAAGGTTACTGTAGCTAAAGAGCACCTTATCTTAATTCTTTGAACTCTGCTCTAAGGGATCATAATAATGGCTTCTTCTCTAGTCCTGCTGATTGTCCATCTTGAAAGAAGAGTGGTATGAGAACTTATATATCTCTGGCTCTAGTAATGGTAGTTACATCCCCTTCTAAGAGAGCCCCACAAATAGTTGCATTTCTTTACTTAAGCCCTAAAATGTATCGAGAGTAAGCAATATAGAGAGATTTGAAGAGCAAGTTTAGGTAGGTGTTCATTATCCTGTCACAGGCTAAGAGTTTCTGGGTCTCTTTGGGAAAATCCCTTAGTAATAGAACTTGGAAAAATCTAGATCATTCAGGTGAGGTTAGTGTGGGTGAAAAACCACAGCTTGCTAAATATCCCCTGAGTACCACTAACTTATGAGAGGGAAAAGTATGGATCATACTTTTCCAGCTATCTTTGAGATTGGAAAAAGTTTGTGGGTTTGGAGGCAGAGAAGGGGCAAATGAAAGAGATGGGAATGGGGCAGGCAAACAAGCCCCATCAAGATCAAATTATTCTCCTATAAGGGATGAAAAGGAAGGAGGAAGTTCAGCTATTTGAAGATTGTTTTTATTTTGCAAAAACTGCTCATTAGTCTTTAGTTGCTTAATTCTTGTCTTTTGTAGACTCCACGATTGTATGTTTTAAGTGTCAAGTTCTGCTTCAGGATCGCCTCTTCTAAGATGTGTGCCATATATATAGTCGACATCTACCAGAATTAATAATATCTTGCCATTGATTATCACCCACATAGATAAATCTGTTTAATTTGTTTTATATTTACTCTTATTTCGCTTTTGCTTAACTTCTGCTTTGTGAGTTCAGGAGTCTTATTCTTTTTTTTGACCTGTAGGTCTATAGAAGTGTTTTATTGAAGAGTATTCCAAGAGAAGTTGTGACATACAATGAAAACATAAATGGTGATATTGAAATGACAGATTGTGGTAAGTTGTCCAGTTTAGCATGAATTGTACATGATACAGTGCATATCAGGCAACAATGAGTCATGACATAGATGGGTTTGGGTAATGCACACAGGATTTGGGAAGAAGCAAGTTTGAGAGTAAATATAGGTCAAATGCTTTAAATACCCTCCAGAGAGGTAGAAGTATATTGACATCATTAATTTGTGCCCTGTTAATTATGTTTTAGAAGTTTTCTCTTCTACTTATCAAATACATGCTAAGGACTTTGTTGTTGTTAAGTGCCATCGAGTCTGTCCTTACTCACAGAGACCCTGTACAAGCTTTCTGAGGCATGCTGATGAGTTTAAACCTTCATCCTTGTGGTTCAAACTGACCTTTCAGTCCGGTGCATTATCATGCAGCAGCATACTAGGACTCCATGCTAAGACTTTTGTCATTGTTGTTAAGTGTCCTTGAGTCAGTTTCGACCTAATAGCGACCCTGTATAGGGTTTCCAAGGAACAGCTGGTGGATTTAAACTGCTGACCTTGAAGTTCAAACCAAGCTTTTGATCCAGTGCTTATCCTACAGCGCTGTACCAGGGCTCCAATTAGTAGTTGTTCTTTTTTATTTTTTTTAAAGAAAAACAAATGGTCAATACTGATAATGTTGATAAGTTGTAAAAGTGCCTCTTCATCTCGTTTTCCTTTTCCTTGTCTCATCTTTTCATGTATTTAAATTAGCTTACATTTGTATCATGTATTGTTGTTGTTAAGTACCGTATCATGTATATGACTTAATTAATCCCACAGTGTGGTACTAACTTGCTTCCAATTATCTATGACTTTGTGATGAGCATCATTTACAGCCTTAGGACAATTGAATGAGTCAAACACATTTCTTTTTCAACTACATAAATATTCCATGATCACTCTGGTGTTTATTGGCATCTGAGCTTTTAAGACCTCACCTACCAAAAAGATCTTTTAATGTCTCAGATTGTGACCTCATTTAAGGGTATATAAGCCAAGCTTAGTTCTTTTTGTGTATATATATATTATTTCTGAGCCTTTTCAAGTCAATGCAAAATAAAAGATAATCCAATAAAATAACAAGAAGTCCCTTTCTGTATTTGTTGCACATACTGTACACCTGTCCATAGCAGTTTGCCTGTCCGCACAAAACCAAGCATCAGCAGTTAGCATGAAAATGATATGAGTTCCTTAACTATTTAGTGTTTTCTTTTACTAGCATGTATCTGGAGCCATAAAGTTAAAGAAAATAGAATTAAGCTAAAGGAAATAGATCCTGGGTTCTTTTTGTTAGATAAAGTACCTGTGAAAAGCAGATACCTATCAGAGAAGGATAACAGTAATAGCAAAGTGGTAAAGACTGCACCCTGTCAAAGGCAAAAAACTTAGGAGACTCAGAAAAATAAGACATATCTGTTGAGTTCTGGTTCTCAAGGTTTCACTGTATTTTCCAAAAAATTTTAGGTGGGTGAAATTAGCTATTTCCCCTATAGTCTATACAAACTTCTATTAGCTAGATATTCATTAGTAGTCAAAAAACTGCTCTTACAGATTCTAATCAGTGATGGTGGCACAGGGCTGGGAGAGTGTCCAGGACTTAGGAATTCTGGCACCAAATCGGGAGAAAGTTACAATTAAGCAATTCTGTATTCAGATAGAGGAGCACAGTGCTCTGTATGGTAATCACTGGACTGTGAACCACAAGGTTGGTGGTTTGAGCTCACCAGCTGCTCTACAGGAGAAAGTTGAGGCTTTCCGCACCCGCAATGATGCACAGTCTCTGTATGGGAAAGATCTACTCTGTGGATCATGACAAGCTACGGATAATATTGCAAAGAATTGATATTCTACCTTTTTCAAAGAGCCAATGTAATTATCTGCAGGCGCTTTTGTCATTAGGATACTCCAGATTTGCCACTGCCACCTGATGTGCTGTGGGATAAAGTACTGAACTGCAAGATCACTTTGAACCACAAGGTCGGCAGTTCAGACTCACCGCTGCTCCATGGAAACCCTATACAGGGTCACTATGAGCCAGAATTGACTTAAAGACACTCAACAATAACTCATGCTCAGTTTTGCTAAAACCACAACCGAGGACTGGTGCCCTCTGAAGGGCACCAGCAGCAGTAAACTGAAAAGCTATAGTTATGAAAAAGTTCTTCCTGAAGTGGTATCCAAAGAAAAGAGCACCATCTTAAGTTTACATGTTTGCATTTCTCTACATTCGAGTTCAATTTATACATAATACAGATGGAGCCCTGACAGTAGTGTTGTAAATTACAAGCTGGGTTGTTAACTTCAAGATCACTAATTCTGATCTACTAGTTTGCTCTGTGGGAGAAAGATGAGGTGTTCTGCTCCCATAAACCTTTACAACCTCAAACCCTATACAGGGTCGCTATGAGTTGGAACTGACTTGGTGGCACAGCACCACCACCACTAGAGATTAATTTATGCGCCTTCTCTAAATCTAATTGCTTTACAATTATTTGTGTTTATTTGATCTTTAATATAGTTGAGGATTGTAATTCAAATCATCAATTGTATGTTAAAGTATGCTTATCATAATGCTGAATTCTTTTTAACAGACTTAGAAGATACTACAAAAACACCAGACTGTTCCAGTGGACCAGTGAGGGAGGAAAGAGGGGACCTTATCAAGTTTTATAATACAGTATATGTAGGAAAAGTGAAGTCATTTGCATTGAAATACGATTTATCAAATCAGGAACATATGGTACATTTTATATTTTACTACTTCATTAATATCTACAATTATAGATTACTGTAAGTTTATTTAACTCATTACCTGCAATCATAGATTGTTTTGTTGTTAAGTGCTGTCGAGTCGGTTCTGGCCCATAGGGACCCTGTGTAGGGTTTCTGAGGAGCAGCTGGTTAACTTGAACCACTGACATTGCAGTTCAAACCGACTTTGCAGTCCAGCACATTAACCCACAGTGCCATACCAGGACTCCCAATCATAGATTGTTGTTGTTAAGTACCGTGGAGTCGGTTCTGACTCATAATGATCCTGCACAGGGTTTCTGAGGCTGTAAATCTTTATGGGAGCAGAAAGCCTCATCTTTCTCCTGCAGAACAGCTGGTAGTTTCGAACTGCCAACCTTAAGGTTCGCAGTCCGATTACTACAAGTTTATTTGACTAATTACATATTTCAGACTAATTACATATTTATATTACATATAAAGCCTCACTGATGCATTATAAAGGGAAAAACACTAATTAATCAGAAAGTGATTAAGACTATTATATAACAGCAACCAGAGGAAATCATAGGGATTCTATTCATACTGTAATTACATTGTTAGAAATTATGTGGGCATAAATGGTTAAACATGCAACTACTAGTTAAACATGGAACTACTAGCTGAAAGGTTAGTGGTTAAAACTCACCCAGAAGGTGCCTCGGAAGACAGACCTAGCAATCTGTTTCCAAAAGGTCACAGCCTTGAAAACCCTATTGAATAGTTCTGCGCTGCACAAATTGGGGTTGCCATGAGTCAGAATCAACTTAGTGGCAACTACCTACAACAATATGGACAAGGACTTAAAAGGGGAGCATAGTAAAATGAAAATAGATTTTGGTTTCTGTTGCGAAATTTATGAGAGAAACATTTTTTTGTTATTGTTTTTCCTCAAAGAGAAAAGTAAATAATAGAGGCATTAATAGAGTCAACCCTAAGAAATTATGTAGACCTTAGTTTTGGCAGTAGGTGCACACTTGAGAAAGTGTACCTAGGCATATAGACTAAGGTTGGGACCCAGTACATCTCACTTAAGGTACCTAGTAGAAGGGAAACTTGGAAGCTACATCCAGCTAGTAGCCATTTCTTTGTATGTCTCCCTGAATTTTGTTCTTATTCTTTACAAGGAATGTAGTCTGTTATTATCAGAAGTCAGAATTGCTTGTCTTTTTTTTTTCTTTTTTTTTTTATAATCTTTTATGTTATATTTGGTGAATGGAGGCTTACAGGGCAGATCATTAGTTTTATATTCAACAAATCATTGTAATGATTACAGTCCCCTCCATGTACCCTTAGCCAACAGTTTTTACCTCTGTTACCTTTCTTTGTTTTTTAAATGATGTGCACATAGTACATTGAAAATGTGGTGGTGATGGTTATGTGCTGTGGAGTCAATTCTGGTTCCTTTAAATGTCCAAAGGGCCCTTTGCAAGTCAGCCTTCTGCCCGCAGGCACAATGCTTTTCTTAGTCCATGGACCTATAGTCCTCTGCTGCTCTGTCATCATGCCCACCACCATCTCTGCTGTCACTGCTTTTCCGGTTAGGATCCCTCGCTCCTCTCATGCTCTTCCCATTTGATGGTCCTAGGGTCCCCTGTTCCTGAAATGATGGATTAACTATTCTCTCCTTTTAGGTGTACCTCTTCTACATTTACAGTTTTGGCAATCGCCGTTAGAGCTGAAAACAATTACTCTCAATTGAATCATAAAATTTTATTCCCCTCATCATCTGACCCATCTGGACAAGAGGAAAACTATTCAGTAGGGTTTCTGTCTTACTCCCCATATTCTGACTCTAAGCACCCGCATGAAAGCTAGTAAGCTAGCTACTTCGTGCCTTTATTGGCCTCCAATTTTGATAGCTAGAGTCTTAAGTTGCCTGTCCTTATCAACCGTACTGAGGAGACGTGCTTGGTCCTTGATATGAAGAATCCTTCCCTATTCAGTTGAAATTTGGGACAATTTCACCATAAGCCAAGGTCCAGCTGATCAGGTTGTAGCAATTTACGCTTGCTCCCCATATCATATTTCTTTATCTTCATCTTGTCAAAGTTAGGCCAAATGGGTACTATTTGCAAGTTTGGGAGCTCTCACATGCATCCCCCTTCTTTTCAGTCTTAGAAAGGGGTTTACCCTGATGAGCTGACTTTTCTTGCCTTGATGGCTCCAGGACAAACAACTTGCTTGATATTGTCACAGCCAGACTGTTCTCCCCATCCCCTCTTGGTCTTTCTTTCAAGAAGTATCTTCTGTTCCTCTAGCCAGTCCCGTTTGGTCTGTAAGTCTTTTCAATTGGGAATGTCCATACTCCACCAAAAGGAGCTCTGGTAATGTAGTGGTTATGAGTGAGGCTGCTAACCTGAAGGTCAGCAGTTAGAAACTACCAGTGGCTCCGTGGGAGAAAGATGAGGTTTTTTGCTTATAAAGATTTACAGCCTCGGAAACTCTATGTAAGGTTGCTATGAGTTGGAACCGACTCTACAGCACATAATCACCACCACTGTACTCAAGAAGCCTGTTTCTCTTGGTACATTCTAGTACCCTTTTATTTTAGATAATACAATCAGTTATAGGCTGAAGATGAGCTTATAAGCTTTCTGTAGTATTTTCCCCAATATTCCTTTCCCTCACACTTAAATGTCTATATTACACTAATATGCAGGGGAACCCAGTATACACAAAACAATCAATCACCTTAACATTATTTCCCCTCTTTTACCCATTTACCTTATGTTTCGATCCCTATATCATAGAGCTTGTTTTTCCAAGACTGCATGTGTCACAATCTACCTCTATCCCATTTAGCCCATATATACCTGCCAAAGTCTTCCCCTATCATCCTAGCATATGTCTATCCCCTAACCTGTGAGTCACTGTCTCTTCTCCCCTACCCCTGATAACTCTCAAAGAATGATTCTTTTAGTTTGGAAATCATTCTTGAGCTTTTACAGTAAAGGTCTTATGCATTTTACAGTAATGCTTTTTACATTAATGACCTTTCTGTCCTTTTGTGCCTGATTAATTTCACTCAGCATTATGTTCTCAAGGCTCATCCATGTTATGAGGTGTTTTGCAGCTTCATCGTTATTCTTCAAGGTAGCATAGTATTCCATTATGTGTATGTACCAAAGTTTGTTTATCCATTCTTCCGTTGATGGACACTTAGGTTGTGTCCAACTTTTTACTGTTATGAATAGTGCTGCTATGAACATTGGTGTGCATATATCCACTCGCGTTCTGACTCGTATTTCTTGTGGATATATACCAAGTAGAGGAATTGTTGGTGTGGCACAATGAGTTAATGCGCCAGACTGCAAAGCCATTCGAACTGCAAGCTTGGCAGTTCAAGTTTACCAGCTGCTCCTCGGAAACCCTATACAGGGTCGTTGTGGGTCAGAACTGACTCGACAGTACTTAACACCAACAACAAGGTATTCTACTTCCTAGTTTCTGAGGAAGTGCCATACCATTTTCCAGAGTGGTTGAACCAATTTGCAGTGCCACCAGCAATGTCTCTCCACATCCTTGCCAGCATTTGTTGTCCTCTGCTTTTTTGAACTTCGCTGTTACTGTTGATGTGCAATGTTATCTCACTGTTTGTTTTCCTTTGCATTTCTCTAATAGCTAATGATTGTGAACATTTTTTCATCATATGTTTGCTTGCTGCCTGAATGTCTTCCTTGGTGAAGTGTCTATTCATGTCCTATGCCCATTTTTTAACTGGGTTATTTGTCTTTTTTCTTATAGAGGTGTTTTAGTTTCCTGTAAATTTTAGAGATTAGTCCCTTCCTTGTGTTATATGTCATTGCAGAAAAATTTTTCTCAGTCTATGAACTCTCTTTTTACTCTTTTAGTGAAATCTTTGATTCATGTAAGTTTCTAATTTTTAGTGTGTCCCAGTAATAATCTATTTTGTTCTCTTTTGTTGGTATAGCTTTTGCTATGTTTAATAGTCTATATTTGCCATTTATTAGAGGCTTCTCCTACTCTTATCAGTTCTTCCTCCCTACTTTTATACTCAAGAATGTTTGTACCATTAGCAAACTAAAAGTAGTTTTCTTAGTTTCAAATGAAGGTGATGAATGAAATACTAAGGATTATTTCTGTTATGGTGGTGGTGGTGTGCCGTGGAGTCAGTTCTGACTCAGTGACCCTGCATAGGACTTCCAAGGCTGTAAATCTTCATGGGAGCAGAAAGCCTTTCTCTCATTGAACAACTGGTAGTTTAGAACTGCTGACCTTGAGGTCAGCAGCCCTACTCGTAACCACTACATTACCCTGCTCACTTTTTTGCACTTCAGTATAAAGTCTTTGCTATATTTCATCTAGATTTCTTCCATGTTGCAATCATTCTGCTACTTCATACAATTCTCTCTTTTTCACTCTTTCTGCTACTGCTTTAGTTGTGTATATGTGCAGGTTAATAGAGACATCTTTATTGTGAGTGGTACGCTGATTACCATTTCCCTTTTTTACTATGGATTGCAGGAGGGTCTGATGCTCCTGGTTTACCATTAATAGTGCCTTGCCCTAGGACAAATCTGGGAAAATTAATTTTAGTTTATTTGTTAATAATTGCTAAAAAATAAAGAATGAATGGTAGTTTCTTTGCAATTTTTCAGCCATAAATAAACTCTTGCAGTACAAATGACTTCTAACTAGGAGATGCCAATAATGGTAAAAATATGATGAGATTAAAAATAGGAAAAAAAAAATTTTAGCCTAAAAGAAAACTGACTTTTGGGGTCATTTCAGATGGAAGCTCCACCACTCTCTCCTTACCCACATATTAAGAAGCAGCCAGGTTCACCGCGCCGCATTTCCCAACAGCATTCCATTTATGTTTCCCCGCATAAGAATGGGGCAGGCCTTACACCAAGGAGTGCTCTGCTGTACAAGTTCAATGGCAGCCCTTCTAAGGTAAGACACACCCAAAATTTACTCCCAAATACCTTGTAATGGCAGAAGTTCTCTAAAGATTTGCAGCTTGATCACCCTAGGAAACAGCTCTACTCTTAGGGTTGCCATGAATTGGAATCGACTCGATGGCAGCAGGTTTTGGTTTAGATGCTTCTGCTATTTTTGCTCTGGGTCATATTGGGAACTACTCACTGTATAAGTGAGATCCAGTTTTCAAAACCACTTGAAAAGATTAGTTCTATCCACTCTTAATAGGTTGACTTAGATTCAAAAAATAATTTTTACCTTCTGTGCTTGAATTTGAATAGAGGATAGAGAACAGGAAAAAGGAGTTTATTAATTTTGGCTGCTGTTTCCATCTTCCCCCCTTCACTCACGCATATGCTCTATTTTTGAACAGAGTTTGAAAGATATCAATAATATGATAAGGCAAGGTGAGCAGAAAACCAAGAAGCAAATAATAACCATCGAAGGTGATGCAGAATCCCCTGCCAAACGTCTCTGTCAAGAAAACGATGATGCTTTACTTAAAAGACTACAGGATGTGGTCAGTGAACGAGCACATCATTAATGTATTTACTTTTCTCTCGTAAAAGCACTTTGAGGTTGTTTCTGCAGAAGCTATCCTTCAAGTCTTACAGTTCTATACTTGGTAAATATCACTTCATATCAGAAAAATTGCACCAAAATTATGTAGTTTTTTTTTCCTTTCTCTAAAATATAGTTAACAGAGATGTATTTTAATTGAGTAGAAAATGAATGTTTTCAGTGTCTTTTAAAAGTATTAGTAGTAATAGAGTTTTAAAATGTCTGATCCTTGGTTAATTTTTAACGGAAGTAAGATAAAAACCCATATAACCCATTCTACTTCAGCTCAGTTTTAAAAATGTCTTCTTCCATGCATTATAACATGAGGGTATATAATCCATTTTTTGTAAGCATGCTTTGAGATATTTTCATTCTCAGTTTAATATTGAAAAGTAGCAGTTGGTTCCTGTAGCACTTGGAGACTCCACATCCAGTAGTCAGTACCATTTTAGGTTGCCCAGATCCAATCTTCCTGTACCTTTTGTCTTCTTGCATATAAGCAGATGGGTACCTGAGCTTGGCACTACTCCCACTCTTGGCTTTTCAACCCTAAGCCCTCTTAACCTGGTGTCACACTATAAAAGGGGAACTTGTTCCTTTCTTTAAACTATTGGTTTTTTTTTTTTTTTTTATAAAAATAAGGTAATTATACATGATTTGTTAAATCATGTAATTCTCAAAATTCAAATGCTGCTTCTCAAACCAGTTTCATATAATTCAGATAGATTTGTTAGAAACACAATTTCCCACTAATGAATTAATACCATGATAATGTATGAGAGAGTGTTTTTTTTTTTTTTTAAGTTTTTATTATGAATTCAGTGATAATTTATATGGGAGAATGGCAGTATTATATTCATTATTTCATTGCAATGATTATAATCCCCTCCGTGCATCGTCATTCAACAGTATTTGCTTCTATGCCCTCTGTTTCTTGGGGTTTTTGTGTGTGTGGGAGGGGATGTATACCAGAACGCTCAAAAATATATAATCATTTAAACAACCAAAGGGCATATTCTGAAACCTGCCTCCTGGCCACCAGCACAGTCATTCTCTTTCCATGAGGAGAGTGTTTTTAAGATCATCATAAATTATAGGGTAGCCTCAGCGAAAAATAATACACCTGCACATCAAAATAAAAAAAGAGGAAATTCAGAAAGATTGAACACAACAGAAATGAAAAATGAAAAGAAAACCAACAAACTGAACTCATCATAGTCATTCTCCATGTCTAATTGATTCTCTAAAAATATCTGAAGCCTTTTCCTAACCACATTAAAATCACCTCATGCCTTATAATTCTGATATGCATCAATAAAGCAGCTGCGTGTTCCTTCACTATCATTGTACTCAGTATTTATTGGTGCATCATGATTTCCTATTAGGATTTGACTTGGATTCCCCAAAGAAGCATTTTTAAAAAAAATCAGCTCCTTAACATCTAGTTTTTCTAGTGTGTTTCCAGAATGTAGCACAATATGGATAAGCCATCCTTAATTAATTTTGAGTGGTGTGTGTTTTACTTGGAAGTGTTCTTTTTTTAACTGCATAATGTTTAATTTACCTATGTCTAATCGCTATGAGTTGGAACCAACTCGAGAGCACTTAACAACAACAACAATCCTGATTGGTCCATCAATTTGTAATTGCTATTATCATAAGTTTTATTTTTACATTTTAAAAAAGAAAGTGATTTTGGTCATATAGTTTTCTGAAGATTTTATCTTCTTTGTGTAGTATCTACACATGTTAAAAGAGAAAAAAATATAGTCTGCCATGAATTCTTATACATATTTTTATGTAGCTATAACCATTGTATCATTTTCTTCTTTAATATTGATATGCAAAATAAAAATGAGCATTTGTACATCAATTGAATAAACAAACTCCTCTGGACTTTTTTTTTTAAATCATTTTATTTTTAAGCTTTATTGTGAATTGAGTGAAGGTTTAAAGAGAAGATCATCAGTTTTATATTCAACAAATCATATACTTTGATTTGGTACATGGTTGCAATCCCCTTTATGTACCAACAGTTAACAGCATTTACCTCTGTTCACTTTGACTATTGCATTCCTCCCTGTGTCTCCCACTACCTTCATCATCTCTAACCTCCCTCTTGCTGTATATTGCCCACCCTGTCACTCACGTTAATATGTGTCTACCCTCTAGTCCTTGAATAATGTTTCCTCCCTGCCATAATCATCATAGATAGCTTCTCTTATCAAGAAAAGCTTTCTTAACTTTTTGTAGCATTGGTCTCATACAACATTTGTCCTTTTGCGATTGACTAATTTCACTCAGCATAAGGTCCTCCAGGTTCAGCTATGTTGGTTCACAGATTAATCATTATTCTTCAGTATTTTGTAGTATTCCATGTGTGTATGTACTAAAGTTTGCTTAACCATTCTTCTGTTGATGGACACTTAGTCTGTCTTCATATTTTTGATATGTTTCTTGAAGACAACATATTGTTTTCTTATCTATTCTGCTCTTTATATCTCTTTTTGTTTTGTTTTGTTTTTGTTTTTGATTTTTAAGTGTTTTGTTGTGAATTATGTGACAGTTTACATGGGAGACCATGAGCTTTACATTCATCCTATCATTTATCGTTTCATTGCCATAATTGCAATCCCCTCCATGCATCAGTAAACAACCAAAGGGTATAGCCTGCCCCTCGTTCGTCAGCACACAGCGCCACTCCTTCTCTGGGTCTAGAGTCCCCAGACACTCCATCTCTCCATGTCATTGTCTCTGCCTCCATCTCTGGCATCACTACTTCTCTAAGTAGGGTTCCACACTCCGCAACTCTCCCAGGGACCTCCGCTCCTGAACTGAAAATTCAACCACTCCCCTCCTTTTGCAAGAAATCATCTACCTTTACATTTCCAACCCTCAGAGTCAGTCCTGATAACAATTATTCACTGTTGTACTACAAGAGCCCTATCCCCATCTCCTTTCATCAAACCTGCCCAGACAGATTGGATACTACTACGTGGAGATTCTATCTTCCTCCATGCCCTCTGGATCTAGGCTCCTTCTTGAAAGCTTGTAAGCCAATCACTTCTTGCCTTTGTAGCCCCTCCATTTTGTGTAGCCAATGTCCAAGTTGCCCATCTCTATCTACTTTGTGTATCGATGGGGTGGGAATGATCCTTACTGTAAAGATCTGTTCCCTCTTTTGAGCTACTGCATCCATAGGTGTAGGTCAAGTTCATCAAATTGTATCCAGATTACTCTTTTTTTTCCCCTCTTCTTTCTTCTTCTAGTTGAGTTCTGATCATCTAGCCATTGAAGCCAGGTCAAGTAGGTATTATCTTCAAGTGTGGGTGTTCTTGTGCATATGCCCTCACTTCTTATCAGCTGGACGCTTCACTCTCCACTCTAGCCCTCTGTGGCTATGTCACGGACTCTGGGCCCAGGAGCCCCAGGTTTTTCCATACTGCTGGCCAACCAGGTTTCCACCTGGGTTCACAGGAGTCTATTGAATGTGGTCAGACTTACTCACAGCTTCTTTACTGTTTTTCCCTCACTTCCCCTTATCAGTGACCGACATGGTCACCAGTCAGACCACATGCCTGCTCATGTATTCCCCTTGAGTCTTAGTCTTGGAAGGGGGTTTGCCCTGAGGGGACCTGACCACTTGCCTTGATGTCTCCTGAGTGAGCAACTTCTTGTTCTTGTAGTAATCATTCGGACTGCCGTTATTGGTTTTTAATTTTCCTGTTGTTTCTTTCAAGAAGTATCTCCTGTTCTCCTAGCTGTTCCAGGCTGGTTTGCTTGTCCTTTCAAGTGGAGATTTCCCACCTCAGAAGATTCTGAACGGGGTTCAGGATTCTTTATGTCTCTTGACTGGTACATTTAATCCATTTACATTCAGTGTAATTATCAATAGGTTTGAACTGATGTAATTTTTTGGTGTGTTTTTCTTGTGGTGCTTTGTTCCACATAATTTTCTATGCTGAATTCATTTTGTGTGTGTGGAGTTGGGGGAGGGTTCTTTTCATTTTCTTTCTGTTGTGTTAAATCTCATTTTCCTCATCTTTAATTTTGATATATAGGTGTATTATTTTTCATTGAGGCTACCCTGTAATTTATTAATGTTTTCTCTGCTTAAAATAGTCTGTTTTATCTTAAAATCTACTTGACTTCCTTACCATTTGGAAGTTTTGTATCTACATTATTCATTCTTTTTGCTTTGTAGTTGACTTCATTATAACTTGATATCTCTGGTTCCCTATTTTCAGTCTTATAGGTTTGTTTTACTTTTAATACATCTATATTATAGTTGTTGTTAAGTGCCTTCTCCGACTCATAGTGACCCTGTATAGGGTTTCCAAGGAATGACTGGTGAGTTCAAACCGCCAACCTGTGGTTCAAGCTGACCTTGTGGTCTAGTGCTTATCCTGCAGCCCCACACCAGAACTTTTATATCTGAATTTTTGAGTGGTATTGTCATGTGCAGTAATCTCAGGTTGTCTGCTGTTTTTGATTCTCAGTCCAAAGAACACCCTTTAGCATTTTTGTGAAGTTGGTCTAGTCAGTACAAATTTGTTTAATTTCTGTTTATCAGGAAATCCTTAATTTTGCCATTATATTTGAGGTACAGCTTTTCTGGATATATGATTCTTGGTTGGCAATTTTTTTTTTTTCTTCTTTTAGAATTTATACATGTCATCCTATTGCCTTCTTGCCTGTATGGTTTCTGCTGAGAAATCAAAGCTTAGTCTTATTGGTTCTCCTTTATAAGTAGCTTCGTTTCCCCCAAGTTGCTCTCAGGAGTCTTTCCTTGATTTTGATTTTGGAAAGTTTGATTATGAAAGTCTTGGTAATTTTCTTTTGGAATCTATCCTGTTTGGGTTTTGTTTAGCTTCTTGTATGTTTATCTTCTTGTCTTTCATGGTGTTAGGGAAGTGTTCTTCCAACAACTTTGACAGTTTTCTCTGTGCTTTTCTCTTCCTGTTCTGGAATTTCAATTACCTG